CTGGAGAGATAGGGGGTAAGAGGATCAACATAAAAGAAGAGAAAAAATACTGAAAAACAGCACCTTGGACTGTTGCCACTGGTGCTGTCCGTGGTGCTGAATGTTATTTTTCTCAAGTTGTATACATTGTTAAGACTGGAAAATACAGACAAATGGAAGGTAATTGTAATAGGACAATAAATAGTGATTGCTACAAAAATCAATGCATTAAAAATCCATATTTACAATAAGCATGCTTATCATTGGGATCCAAAGGGGTTCCTATTGGGGAAAAAGTGAGGACCAGAGTTTTTCAAAATTTATACTTTTCATTTGCTTTTTGCACTTAGTTGGAATTTTTTCATTAGATTTGTCTGTTACTGGGCTTCAATATGAGGATGCAAAGACTGACTGTAGTATTTGGTCAAGTGAATATTAAGCAAACACCCAGGATGTACCAGGCATTGTGACAGGCACAGGATTATAAACCTATATTAGGTATAAGCTCCTTGAAACAAAAGGGAAGAGAGCTTTATAAAGGTAGCATTTAACTTGCAAGACAAAAAATTTCTAATTTTTGATCGAGATGTTCTTCCTCTGCAGCTTTTACGTCAATAATCTAAGCTCTCTCTTCTCCAAATTTCTAATCGCAAAAGATCTCTAGCCCTGCTGTCATTAGAGAAGTATCTGCTCCAGCAGTTCAGAGTCTTTGGATTGCTGCTCTTTGTGGTAATGGCAATCTAGAAAGATAATCATTCCAAGTATTGGTTTTATGACTTGTTTCCAAGTGAGAAGGAAAAATAGGGAAATTCCATAACAGCACTTTGTGTTCCCTGTCTTGTAGAAAGAACTTATCTGTTTTGTCTATATTTGGAGAACACATTCATTCAGATGCTGCATCACAATTATTAATGTGACCACAGAATTATCAGTGAAGCCAAACCTTACAGCTTGGAAGCTCCAAGGACAATTAGATGGATTATCAAAGCAATAAGCACAATGGATTATATAGTTTAAGCCCTCTACTGGGAACACCATCATCCTTAATAAAACTTTGGCAGGCATACCTTGATTGGCAGTAGCTGCTGGAGGCAGCCTATGACTTGACCACATGACACAAGGGCAGTACTTTAAATTTTACCCACAAATTAATCTGTCGTTGACCTCTATTTCTATAAACTACCTTTATGGACTCCAAACATTTGAATCCTTTAAACACAAGAAAGGTTCTAAACAAAACCTTGGAAACAGACTGAAGAGTCTCTCCAAGAAAAGTTCATGGCAATGAGATACTGAAATTACTTCTCAGATATGGTGGAAGTATGACTGATAACCAATTTTTTCTTTTAAATTAGCTACAAAAAGAGTGGCCAACAGATATGTCTCCATATAAAGTAGACATGATGACTCATTTGCTTCTTTATCAACAGACATCAGCCAAACCATACTCTATCTCAGGATTGAGTGAGTTAGGTTAGGTTGTAAATGAAAGAAGAGAAAGGAAATAAAATGAAAATGATGATATAGAAGAAGAGGGGTGAGAGTAATAGTTAACAGGAAGTGTTTTCCATGTCATTCTTTCATCCATCTATAAGAAAAACTCTATAGTGGCTTTCCATTAAATTGAAAATACTGTCCAAAGAGCTTTCTATTTTACATGATCTCATCTTTCTGCATCCCCATTTGCTCCATCTATTCTAGCCACACTAGCTTTCTTTTCTATCCTGCAAACATGCCAACATCATTCCCATTGTAGGATGTTCACGTGATGGTCCTTCTGCTTGCAACATTCAATCCTGGATCTTCAGATGACTAACTGCTTTTTTATTATCATTCAAGTCTCATTTCAGATGTCATGTCCTTGGTGTGCTAGCCAAAGCCACCCCTTCACAACACTTCCTTAACACAGAGCAGTATCAGAAATGATCCATCCGTCCATCCATTCATTCACTCATGTATTTATGTACGGCTTGCCTCTCCCACTCTACTGTATGCTTTGTGAGGACAAGGACTCTTATTCAAAAAGGTCTCCTCAGTAGCCAGAATCATGCCGAACACTAAGTAGGCACTAAATAACTATTTGCTTACTGACTGTAACAGGGTAAAAAAAAAATGTGTGCTTTTTCCAAGATGATAAGAATAGAGTCTTTTCAGAAAGGGCTTTTAAAAAGCAATTTCTAACTGAAGAACTCCAAGGTCCTGCAAGAGAGTCCTTTTGTGCATTTCAGGTGCTTGAAGCCCTTGTCCTGTCATTGCTGAATTCATTGACTCTCCCAAGCTGCCAATTACACATAGTGCAGAACACCAGTCCCCAGGTACAAGAAGGGCATCACCGACCATCAGAAGCCTGGGGTCTAAGAATATTGAGATCCTGGACCTGAAGTGTTACTGTATTCTCTTCTGTAAAATGAGGATAGCATAATTAATTTGAGGACTCAAGGCTCTAACGTAGGTGGCACTTAGGAACTCTACAATACCGGGCAAGGAGGGGGGGTTGGTATTGATGAGGCTTGATAGTGATTTGTCCCAAGGTCTAGGGCAGGAGGGTTCTACGAGCTTGGAATTCATGCCTTGGAACCCAGAAAGGGTGCTCCTCAGAGAAGGGTTAAGAAATGCCCCTGGGGGCCGGCCCAGTGGCACAAGCGGTTAAGTGGGCGCGCCCCTGCGGCAGCCCGGGGTTCGCCGGTTCGCATCCCGGGCGCGCACTGACACACCGCTTGTCAAGCTATGCTGTGGTGGCGTCCCATATAAAGTGGAGGAAGATGGGCATGGAAGTTAGCCCAGGGCCAGTCTTCTTCAGCAAAAAGAGGAGGATTGGCAGATGTTAGCTTGGGGCCGATCTTCCTCACAAAAAAAAAAGAAGAAGAAGAAAGAAAAGAAATGCCCCTGATTTTGCCTGTTTTCTTTTAAAAACCTAAACTTTGGAATGTGACTAGCACACATAGACAACTATTTTGTATCCTCTCCTGACTGGTGGTTAGTACACACTAGTGCAACATAAAAACAGAGCAGTCCATCATCTGCAACCCAACCTAACAGTCTGACAGTACATTCCACGTCAGACATGTCACTGCCAGTACGTGGGGTCAAGTATTGTGCACAATTCTGTACAAAGTGACCTTGGTCAGAAATGAGCTTAGGGCCAAGCTCTGGTAGAATCCGCTGGATGGAGAAAGGCATTTTATACATATAAGGCGTGGGGGATGGAGAAGGTCAGTGTCATGGCATGGAGGAACCCTGGAATGGGTTTCACACATCTGGAGCCAAGTGGAAAAATTCAGGAGGAATGTACTCTTGGGGCTTGTCATTAAGGGGAAAGGGATAAGGGAAAAAAGTTGCTGTGTCAGGTGAAGCAAAAGGGAGGGTGTAACGCACAGGCTCTTCATCGCTCCTCTCTCCTGACAAAGCCAACGGGAGGGGAAAAGGCCCAATGTGGGTGTCACAGGAGCCCAGTACGGGAAATGATGATGGACGAAGGTCAACACAAATGCAACCACACTATGATTCCAAGTCTGGCTGAAATGTAGTGGGTCATAGGCAATGATTGGCAATGCTTTGGGGCAGAATATGGTCACTTGATTAATAAATAACATGCACAGAATTCAAAGGTCAAGTCCGAGTTTACCAAGGCCCACTGAGACACCACGGCATTGAGTGGAAAATCCTTTTGTCAAATGTTTATGTAACACAAAATATAATGAGGAAAACAAAAGTTATTTTCAATTCAAAATCCATGATGCGTAAAGTTTGCATAGTGAAGGTGATAAAAATATTGACAATTGATGTTGACAGAGAACCTTCTGTGCACACTATTACTATGTTGAGTGACTCTGTAAATGTAAATTTGCCCCCAAAGTGTGTATAAGCCAATTCTGATGAAAGCTTTTCTTCTGCCATGAATTTAACAGATTCTAGTTATCACGTTTGTCCCTGGGTACAAAGTAATATTCAGAAAAAATACACCTGCTCCTGTTAAAAATATCAGAGAGGAAAGATAAGCCAAAGTGGTTAGAAAAAACACTGTGAAAGCACCCCCATCCTAGTTTCTTGGGGTGACTGGCCTGAGACATATTCAAAGCCTGGTCAAGAAAATCCTGCTTATCAAACCTTTAAGTTTATACAACCTTCCACAATATGCTCCAAAAAAATACTCTAAGGTTATTTTTTTGGAGAGAAGAGAGCACCCCCTACCCCCCTATAAAAAATCTATCTGGCCTCATAGGGCTGACAGAACTCACCAGAGAATATAGGGAGAGAAAGTAAATCAGAAGGCATGACAACAGCAATATGATACTCTACCACAGGGGTCAGCAAATTTTTTTCTCTATAGAGCCAGAGAATAAATATTCTGGAATTTGCAGACCAAGAGGCAAAATCAAGGATGTTGTGTAGGTACTTACATAAAAATTTTCACTACTTTTTATTGTCAAAATTAAAGTCTTTATTTATGGACACTGAAACTTGAATTTCACTCATGTTCATGCATTCCAAATAGTATTATTCTTTTGATTTTTTTCAAGCATTTAAAAATGTAAAATCCATTCTTAGCTTGTTCGACAAAATCAGGCCAAGGGAGGGATTCGGCCCAAGGGCCGAAGTTTGTAGACCTGTACTCTCAGTAGGCGAAGAGGTAGTGGGCCAAAACAAGCCATTGAGTCAGCATATCTGGGGTTGGTTTTCCCTCCAAGTTTCTTTAAAACACTATAAATATAAAGCTGCACTGAAACATCCCAAATTCCCTCTGCTTATAACAAAATCAGATTAATCAGATTATTTACTTCATCCAGTAGCTTATGTTCACATTCTAAATTTAATTTAAGTATCATCTTAGGTGTAGATGTTGCATTGGTTTTGTACAATAAATGCAGAGACAGGAGCAAAATGGGAAACACACATTAATTAATTTCCATTACCGTGATGAAGAGTGGCATTGGAAAGGCATCTGATTTGAAGTGTCTGCTCTATAAAAGCCAGCAACCACCAGCCACCACTTGTAATGCTCTCCTGTTCTTATCTTGTAGGCTTTCATATCGGACGGGGCAAGACACAGCTAATTGTGACACATGCAGGAACAGTGCATGTATTATCTATAGGTATGTTAACATTCTCCTCTTCCCACTTTTGTATTATGAGTGACAAATGATGTTTACCCACGAATGCAAGTGTCATCTGGGGCCATGCTGGGATGATTATATCAGACAAAAAGTAAAGGACCTTACTTGACCATAATTCTAAGCTATTTCTAAATACTCAAGCCCAGGTATATGATCACAAGTTGAGGGAGAGCTTGAACTCATTTTTCTTGCAAATGCATCTTAGTGGTTACAAACATTGGTATAAGTTTGATAGCTTGCTCCCTTGGAATCGATAGCCATGAGCACTGTACTGTGTGTTCTGGAAAGGCTGTGAAATATAAACCGTTCAGATGGTATAGATCAAAGCCTGGAAACCAAATTGTATGTGCTAGGAATACCATGGAAGAACCCAGGATGCTCAGACCAAATGTGCAATTTATTTCCTAGGAACTCACAAGGATTGTGGCACATGTGTGCCTTGGGACATAAACCCCTATCTAGAACCGCTACAGCTGGTATTCATGTTTTGTCATTTGAAGTGTGTTTAGACTACTCGTATCAACAAGAATACAACAGAAACTTGCAACAGGCAAAAACCACGTTAGGCTTTTTGGCAAGGATTTTAAGACATGGTCACAACCTTCAGGGAGGTTACTGTCTTTTTTTTTCTTTTCCACAAACAAAATATGAGAGCAAAACGAAATGTCATAATTTAGTTCATTTTAAAAAATTAAGCCTGAAGAACAATTTTAGTTGAGTTGCCAAATTATCAAAAACAAATCTAACTGCATAAAGTATCTGAAAATGTGTAAAGGAACCCCCATCTCCCACCATATACACTTTCTAAAAATATCTTCAAAGTTACCATCCTCTCTCATCAAGAAGGTAGAGGCAAGGAAAGGGCATAAATGTCTTAAATATAGCAAAAACCTCGAGTCCACACAATCCTGAACCCCTCACACATCTCCAGTCCAGGCAGAACATCCAGGACAGGGCTCCAGGTTCTTTAAAAGCAGAGTTGGGCCACCTGGTAACCTTGGCTGCGAGCAGGCAGAAGAAACCACAAGGCAGACAGGAGCACCGGGGGTCACACCAGCACGTTCTACTGCAGAGGTTCTCAACTGAGGGTGATTTTGCCTCCCAAGGGGATATCTGGAAGGTCTGAAGGGAGACATTTTCAGCTGTCATAACTAGGGAGGTGCTACTGGCATCTAGTAAGTAGAAGCAAGGGATGCTGCTAACATCCCATAATGCATAGGATGGCCTGCCACAGCAGAGTCATCTGGTCCAAAATGTCAGTAGTACCGAGACTGAGAAAGCCTGCCTTGCAGGAACCATCACCAGGTTAAGGTCTAGGGAAAGGGACAAGCAAACAGCTAAGACACCCTGGCACGCAGGGAGCCAGGACCCTACAGCAGCCCTGGCCCAGCACACCAAGACCTCTCATTGTTCTCCACTGTTAACAAGGAGGAAGTGAAAGGCAAGCACCCAGGCAAGCTTTGTTTATCAAGAACTCCTACAAATTACAAATTATCTTCTCAGAGATCGCAACTTATCAGAGAAGTCTGGTTAGTGGGAATCTCTTCACTACATTCATATGGTGGAAGAGAATTTTGAATCAACAGGGAAGGGATGTAACCCTGACATAAGATACACCTGCACAAACATCAGTCAATTAGCAAAAGAACTGAGGAACGTGCTGCCCCTGCCACGCATCCCCACAGTTTAGCTTTGTTAGGTTGGGAGCTAAAGCTTATCCAGTCTTTTAATGCAACAAAACAGAAGTGAGTAGAGGTTTTCAGAGAAGGTTCAGACATTGAGCTTGATAAGCACAACCCATTTAACATTTTGTGGGTGATTGAAAAAAGAATTTATTAGGACAGTCTCCAATGTAACTGAAGTAATTTAAGTAAATTTAGCTCTAAGCCAGAAGTAACTTACATTAAAAGTAATATTAAAAGTGATTTAACAAGCCTGTGAAGGACAGGAATTTGTCTTTTTCAGGAATTAGCCTTCAGGAATTTAGAATTGGCTCAACCAACATTCTACACGAATCCCAATACACCAGTCACTGGCCCACTTTTCAAAAGAACTGAGTGTCCCAGCACTACAGGAATTGGCCAAAATTTAGCAAAAACTGACCAGGGAAAGGTATTGGGCCACTGTGATCGCTTTGGTTATCTCTCACAGACTGGGAAAATGCATATCTACTCACAGAGCCCTTTTCATCAAAGATGCAATTGTAGGGACTGTTGATTTGGTGGTGTGCATCTTCAGGAACTGAGTAGAGACGAGGCCATCTACAGCCACGCCAACACTACCATCAGCCCTCTAAATGAGTGAAGCATCCCTGGAGAGGTGGTACTAGAGAAAAGCAGAGTTTTAGATCTCTCTTTCAGGAAAGTATTTTAAAATCTCTCCCTTGAGAGTGATAACAACAACAAAAATCCCCCCACCCTCAAATTTCTCCTGCAAACAGAAGTTACTCTGCAAGGCTTATTTCAGCTGGACTCCCACAGCCTTGCAAAGTCAGTCTTCCTGCTATTAATTCCAGCAAGGTCTTGATATGACTACCAAGTTGAACATATACAACAAACTCTGTTTCTCAATTGTCCTATCACTTAATACTGGAAATAATTAAAATTTAACAGTTACTCTTTATGTTCATTATAGACATTAGGCAAGAGTTTTCTGAGCTCTATAGATGACAAGTGAAGCTCGAAGCTCATTTCTGGTCAAGTAATTGAGAAACCTGTCAAAAGGGAAATCATGAACTTAAACATGTTATTTTAATTTGAATCATATACATTGAGATCTTCCATTTATGTGATTTAAAGTTATGCCAATCCTTCAAGGTGAGGCCCAGATGTCTTCTGTGAATGTGGGCGCCCCCACTCAAGTTCCAGGTTACCTTCCATGAACCACAATCATTTTCCTTCCTTTGAAGTAGAACGAGGTCTTGGGAAGGAATCTGATTTCAGAATCCTTCTGGATGCTGATTTCTTCCTGCTTTTTCACACTCAATATTTTGTAACACCCTTCTGTTTCCAAAGGACCTAACTCACAGAAATAATTCCCTCTTGCCTCAGTTATATTTCTTGGTTTACATACATTCACATAAATCACATCATTTCAATGATGAGTACAGATGGCATAAACAGACACAAACACAGCATCCTCTTGGTGAGCATGCAGCTGGAGAAGGAAGAACAGAGGGTCATGGGTCAACAACAGAGAAGTCTGTTCGCCAGGAGCATCTGGCCTGTGTGGGCGTTAGTTATGTCACAAGGGACAGGGTGGTGGTGGTTAATCTAGCATGTGGGTTAAGGGGCCTTCTATAATCCTATCCAAATAGCAAAGTCTGATATAAGAGGATGAAGGGAATGTAGATCGGCTCCCGGAGGACTCGTGTCTACCTGAGTTGGCCCTGGTGGCTGACAGTTGTTAGACGGAGGTAGGTTACTTCCCTCGGGCTTCCCTCTGCCAAAAAAGAAAGGGGTGTGTGGAGCAAGGGAGAATTCTGCCAGATGATTTCTTAGTTTTCGGCCAGCCCTATGATTCAATCCTCAAATGTCGAATGCTGCATGAAGATTAGAGGTTTCTTTGGTAGAAAAGCATTCAGAATTCAATAGTCCTTGGGCAGGAGCAATCACCTGTTCAGGTGACCCTGTACCAGTGCACATGGGCAGCTAGAACCTCTCAGAAATATAGACCCCAAGTGAGCCAGAAGGAGTGTCCAAATTTCAAAGTCTTTATGATTTCCATTTCTTCTTACCAAGGAAACTTGCAAACAAGTCCTTCAATTCCTGCATACACCTCTATAGAGAGGATCCCATCAGAAGGAGCAAGTTTAGCTCAAGGTCAGGGTCCTTGCAGTGGGTTCCAAGCCTAGCTCTGTCACCTAGGCTCTCGGGTACCAGGGCCTGCATCCTAAACTTCAGAAATGTTCCTATGAGTCCCTGCACCACCATCTCTGCTACTCGTCTTGGTCTTTCCCTTAGGATGCCTAGAGTACCTCAGGATTGAATAGATTAAAGGAGTTTCAAAATAAAGAAATTTTAAATTGCCAAAGGACTGTGGTTGTTTCAGAGACTGGGAGAACACGAGGGGCCATCACAGCTGCCATATCCACATGTTGCAATTTGTCATACCTGTTCGCTGGCAGGCAGAGAGCACTGGAGGTCAATGAATTTGACCCCGCCTGTCTTGCATGTACACACTGCTTTTCACTCGAAACCCAATTACCCTCTCCGAGCAGCATAAGAATCCACCGTGTTTCCAGTAACACTTGGCCCAGGGAGATGCAAATAGTGCCATGTTCAAGATGCAGCCGCCTGCAGTTTTATCAGCACACTCCTGTAATAAATGTGTACCTTTGCCATGGGTGTCGGTACATATTTCTCTGTAAAAAATAAGTCTGTCATGGAAATATACAGGACTTAGAAAAAACATCAAAAGGACAAAAGGTCTTGAAGCAATTTCAAGGAAAAAGGCTGCCAGAACCACAAACGAAAGGTTGGAAACATCAGCCTATCGGAGCCTGCTGCTCAGATACTGGGCGCCCCAGGGGTTAGCGCTGAACCCCCACTCTCTGTCTTTGGCAGGATGTCCATTAAATCTCTAAGTCATGAGGGATTGCACTAGGGAATGAGGTAGGTCCCTTCCAGCTCTGAAATCCCCTGAATCAGTGATTTACAATTATGAAAGGAATGGGTCTGGGTGCTTCAACAGAAAATACACATGGAGGTAAAAGGGTGGACGGTCGAAAGGCATTTCTCAACGGAATAACATCCATTCCTGTATTGGCAAATCAGTTTACATAGAGCCAAACAGCTGTTCTTGGGCAGTGAACTGATTGCCCTGCTCACTAATCCACTGAAACCCCAAGCATCAGAAGTGATATTTTCCATAACTGGGAATTTTGAGGTGGTTGACACGATTATACTTTTTTCCTAAGATGTCATCCCTTAGATTGGGATCTGGACCAATTGTGAAATTCTAATTAAAGACTGTCTCAG